GCGGGGTCAAGCCCAGCTCAGCACAGGCAGGAGCTGACTTAGGAGCTGCCGGCTGTCACGGGTGGCTTGTGAGCAGGATTGGTCCTCCTGAATGGTTCTGCCTAGTCTTCCCTTTTCAGATTCCTGCCTGTATCACCCAGGCGTCCCCATCTTCCACGATGCCCTGAAGGTGAGTGGGGCAGGACCTGGGGCTGCAGCTGCAGGGAGGGACCCTCGTGCCTGCTGGGGTTGCCCACACCTGACCAGGTTGTCATCTCCCGGTGCCTAGGGCTGGTCTTGTTGCAAGAAACGCACAACAGACTTCTCCGAGTTCCTCTCCATAAAGGTGAGTGTCCCGCCAGCCCAAATGATCCCGCTGCTCCTCTGTCCTCTCCTCCTTGCCCTTGTACCATCCCCATCCCGTGCCAAGGCTGCCCCCTTCGCCACGACAGCCGGGGATTTCCTATCTGCTTCCAAGGAGCAAGGGTGCTGCTCCCGAAGTGTGGGGCAGATGCTGCCACAGAAGGGTGCTGGAAGGGGCTGGGATCACTGTCCTGGATCCCGTGAGATAAGCCCAAGTGCCCCAAGAGCCAGCACAACTGTGAATGTCTGAGCAGTCCCAGGGCAGGGGGAGGATGCAGTCAGCTGGGGCCTGGGGATGTGGGTGAGGCACTTGCTGCCCGTCAGCTGCCAGGCTGAGGTGCAGCAGAGCTGCAACCTGTCTGCCATGGTCCCAGTGGGGCTGCCACAGCGTCTTGTCCCCGGGAATCCCTGCAGATGCAGCCCCCTGCCCTGATGCAGGGTCAGAACCCATCTCTGCGGGACACAGAGCTGGCTGAGCACGGACACTCATGGGGCTTGGGAGCAGCTGCCAGGTTAGGGAGGGCAAAGCAGGCGTCAGGCTTGCCGTCTGCTGCTCAGGGATGCACAAAGGGGTTTCACAGCAAGGAGAAGCCCCCTGAGCCTTTCAGCCAAGAGGAGACCTCAAACAAGCCGAAGGCCAAACCAGTGGAGGAGCTCATCATCCAAGGACCAAAATCAGCTGAGAAGATGAAGCGGGAAAGACCAAGGTGAGACGGGCTCAGCCAACAGCGTCACCCTGACGCGCTGCTGCTTCTGCACGTGTCCTGCCCTGCTGCTTCCTCAGGACAGGCAACGGTGCTTAAATTGCAAAAATAACCCCCTCGGCCTTTCCTGCTGCTGTTTCCCAGCTCTGATGAGCCAAGACAACTGCTGCCAATTAAAGTGTCCAGGTCTCTGGAGCAGGCACTGGAGCAACTGAACCTGTCCTCCAAGGACGAGGCACCTGGGGGCAGTTGCACAGGTAGCGATGGGCGGAAGGATGGCAGAGGGGTGGCACGTGGCAGGCTCGGCATGGCGTGTTGCATGGCAGGTTCAGCGCCGGATGGCAGGGGCTGTGTGCTCAGCCACCTGCAAACCCCCCCAAGCTGCGTCTCGGCGGCAACGGGGCGTGCGCAGGAGCTGCGCGTGCTGAGCTGGAGAGCTGGCGGTGGGGCTGTGGGGAGGGTCT